CTCTTGGGCCTGGCGGTGGCTCCGTCGTGGCCGTTGCCACTCTGCCCGGATCTGCTCTCGCGGGACCAGGGCCGTAAGGCTAAGGGTACAATTATATAATATACAGGTTAAGGAAATAGTGTCTGTACATCTGGGTGTAATAAGGCTTAAATTATCCAAAAGTTCAAAGTTTGGTTTGAAAGTCATACATACATATAGCACATAATCAGCAACAACCCACATTTAGATTAATAAATTGAATGATACAGTTGAGGGATTAGCATCCAAATATTCGGGTTCATCACTCATGAAAAGTTATACAGAGAGTTGGTTGTAGAAAGCAAATATAACAATGAGTGGAGATTGTCCATCAGTAGTTGAGCGTTTAGGATGGGTTGTTGTCCCTCAGTAAATACAGACCACCAGAGAAGTATTTCTGTTACTTTCCTGATTTCGCTTCTCAATGGCGCTGCAGCTCCTCCCTCATAAATAGTTCACTCTGGAAGAAGTGCATCCCCTTCCAACACCCCTCGAGTAATACCCCCCTCATAATAAATTATAAGTTCCCCATATTTCACCCCTCCCCCACTAGATTCTCACAAGTGATCAGGGTAAGGAGAGGAAGTAAAATGAGAAGCAACTGTTCCATCTTTCCCCCAGACTATATAGCACAAAGGAAACATGAATTGACAGCGCAGGTCCAGTAATTTATAACGAGTGGAGGGGGTGTGTGTCTCCATTTGAGTCGGGGAAGTCAGAGAGGTGAATTTGCATGAAAATGTTGACACCTCTGCATCAGACATGAAAAGGAGCTGAAAGCTCTCAGCTCTCAGGGTGACAGTGACTCATGCACAGGGAGACCAGGAAAAGGTCTATGAACCTCTGACATCCTGCCCCTTCTACTGGGGAGAGAATTCTACAGTCTCCCAGACCACTCACTGTGAGTGAAAGTCACTCGTGTGCCCACACCTATGCGTCACTCAAGTCCCTCTTTGGGGAGCAAAAATGGGATTTGAGTGGGTTCTATGCACAGGGGTGAATTTCCAGCTCTCTCTCTGTTCCTCCCTCCCCCCCCCCCGCAGTGTAGGACAATGAAATACAGAGGGGATTTGCCATCCTTAAAATATAGGTATAATAATGGATGAGCCCAGCAAATATGATAGCGGGGGCGCAACCTGATAGTTTATCTTTTACACACAAACAGAGCAATTCTTCTGGTTTTCCCCTCAGATCATCAACAATTTATGTCTCTCTTGGGTTCTACTTACACTGAGGCACAATGCAAATGATTCCTAATATAATGTCTCCAGGTGCTCAGAGATATCCCAGCACTGAACTATCTGAGCACCTGACAGACATTAATCGTTTTAGCGTCACAACATTCCCGCGGGAGGTGAGGAAGTTGCATTATCCTGGTATTTATATAATGGACCTGAGGCAAAGAGCGGTTCAGGATGTGATTTTTCAGAAAAGCTCAAGCATCTTTGGTGCTCTGTTTAGGTCACAGCAGGACTATTGCGGCAGGCGAGCCTTTCGTACATTCCACCCCGGCTGTCTGTGGAAATGGGGGATCAGAACACAGCTTTGGGGTGTCTGAGGTGAGAGTTGTAACCAGAAGACCCTCCTTCCTGTCTGAGGGCCCTTGGTGTTGTGTCAACCTGATGAGTTCAGAGCTGGGAAAGAACAAGGTGACATTTGTGGGGCTGGTTCGGCTCCCATTCCTCCAGGTGTGAACCAGGAGTAACGCCATTTCAGGGAATAGAGTTACCCCCTTTTGAAAAGCTGTAGGGGAAAGGCAAACCAGCTCCAAAGGGTCATGGAAAATAACAGTTATAGAATATCAGAGTTGGAAGGGACCTCAGGAGGTATCTAGCTCAAAGCAGGACCAATCCCCAGACAGATTTTTGCCCTGAATGGTCCCCTCAAGGATTGACCTTACAACCTTGGGTGTAGCAAGCCAATGCTCAAACCACTGAGCTATCCCTCCTCCCTATATTATGTATGCAAAATGTCACAAACATTGGTACCAGAAAAAATCCCCTAAAAGCCTTCAGGGAAAAAATCTACTCTGACTTACACTGGTGTAAATCTGGAGAAACCATATTCACTTCAATAGAATGACACTAAATTCACCCTGGTGTAAACACCCAGCAGCTACTAACTGATAGGAGTGAGGACGAAATTTCTGCTCTTGCCAGATTATTCTTCAGTTGCCGACTGGGGGTGACTTGACCTTTCCCCTGAAGAAGCAGCTTCTGGCCGCAGGTGCAGAGACAATACTCGAATGCACGGATCCCTGCTCTGATCCGGTTTGGCAATTCCTGTCTAAATGTGAGCAGCATTTGTCCCGGCGAATCGTGTTGTGTGAATTGGGGGTTAGGCTGGGCCCGCTTCTCTTTACTGTTGTGTTCTGTGTACAGTTCAGGGCTAGGATTCTGTTGCCTGCCCAGAGGTTCCTTTATATTCTCTCATTGATGATGCCCCAGCTCCTCAGCCCCCTGCCGGGGCAATCCCCTGGCTCTGCCCTCCTGGGTCCCTGTTCTGGGTCCCTGTCCCTCCAGTTCTGGAGGCGGGAGCCCCAGCTGGAGGGACTCTGGGCTGAGGAGCGACCCGGGAGCCCCGCTGCTTACCCCGACCCTGCCAGCGCCGGACCGGCTGGAGGCAAGGGGGGAGTGGGCGGAGTCAGCGCTGGTGGGGGGAAGCCCAGGGCTGGGGCAGCAGGGGGTGCAGGTGGGGGAGGGCAGTGGTGGATGGGGAGAGCCCAGGGCTGGGGTGAGGGGCAGCCAAAAATTCTTTTGCTTAGGGCTGCAAAAAACCTAGAGCCGGCCCTGCATGTGCACAGTCACTGCAAGGCTAATTGCACAAGTTTCCAATTGTTTAGGCTCAATGTGTGTCTTGTGGTGCAGTAATAGGTGCCGCTGTCTCCGGCTTCCATGCCTCTCATTTCCAAATACCCCTCACTTTTAGAGGTGTCCCTGCAGATGGTCAATTGGTTTTTAAGTGACTCCTGGTAGTATTTGTCATCCTCCCAATCCACAAGGCACAACCACTCCAGGCTTTTCCCCGGGGGCTGTCGAATCCAGCTCACACGATTCCCGCTAGACGTGAGAGAGAATCCGGACACTGAGCAGGTGAGTCTCAGGGTCTGTGAGGGCTTCACCTGGGCTGCTCTGGTCTGCAGCAGTTTAACCTGGGAACGGACACCTGCAAAGAGCACGGAGAAATCTCAGTCAGAGAGATGACAGCAGCAGGCTATGTAGAGAGGGGAGAGTGCTCACTCCTAGGTACTTACATGCAGCAATGGCACAGAGCAGGAGAGCGAGAAGCAAAGTTTTCATCTTCCCTCTTGCAAACAGGCCCAAAGACTCAGAGGGAATCACATGGGTTGATTTCTGGAGGAAATGCTCTAATCAAATGGGGAAATATTCTGTTCTTAAAGGGAAGACGAATAATCATTTGCATACTTTATCCAAAGAGCCATTGCAGCCATGCAAACCATGGAGATGTAATAGTCATGAATTAATGGGTCAGGTGGGTGACGCAGATTATAACGGTGGCATCGCCTACAGACCCTCACGCCAAGTTGACAGTCCCATTGCACTCCTTGCTGCAGAGACATGTAGTCAGACCCAATCCCTTAGGAATGAGCTATTACCCCCTTCAATCATATCTGAGCTGCCCATACACATAGGTAACTGAGTCAGGCCGAGTGACGCTATAGAGTCATAGAAATGTAGGGCTGGAAGGGACCTCGAGAGGTCGTCAAGTCCCATCCATTGCACTGAAGCCGGACTAATTAAACCTAGACCATCCCTAACAGGTGTTTGTCCAACCTGTTCTTAAAACCCTCCCATGATGGGGATTCCACCCTCTCCCTTGGAAGCCTGTTCCAGAGCTTAACTATCCTTATGAAGAGTATCCCTTATATCTAAGATAAATCTCTTTTGTTGCAGATTAAGCCCAATACTTGTAGTACATTCCGTAATCATGGGGAACAATTTATCATGTTTTCTTTATAACAGCCCTTCACATATTTGAAGACTGTTCTGAGGTCCCCCCTCTCTTTTCTTTTATCAGGACTAAACATGCCCAGTTATTTTAACCTTTCCTCATAGGGCATGTTTTCTAAGTCTTTGTTGCTCTCCTTTGGACTCTCCAATTTGGCCACATCTTTCCTAAAGTGAAGTACCCGAAACTGGACACAGAACTCCAGCTGATGCCTCACCAGTACCGATTAGAGCTGGACAATTACATCAATACCCCCCATAATATTAGCCTTTTTAAAGAACTGCATCACATTACTGCTTCATGTTCAATTTGTGATCTACTATAACCCCTACCTGCTTTTCAGTATTACCACCACCTAGCCAGTTATTCTCCATTTTGTAGCTGTGTCTGATTTCCCCTTTTAAAGAGTAGTACTTTGCATTTGTCTTTGTTGAATTTCATCTTGTTGATTTCAGACCAATTTAGTAATTTGCCAAGTTCCTTTCAAATCGTAATCCTGTTCTCCAGAGTGCTAGCATCTCCTCCCAGTTTGGAGTCAGTTGCAAATTTTGTAAATATACCCTCCACTTCATTAGCCAAGTCATTAATGAAAATATTGAATAGTACCAGACCCAGGACTGACCCCTGCGGGATCCCACGAGATGCACCCTCCCAGTTTGAAAGCAAGCCATTGATAACAACTCTTTAAGTATCGGAGGGGTAGCCATGTTAGTTTGGATCTGTAAAAAGCAACAAAGAGTCCTGTGGCACCTTATAGACTAACACACGAAAACTCATGCTCCAATACATCTGTTAGTCTATAAGGTGCCACCTGACTCTCTGTTGCTTTTTACTCTTTAAGTATGGTCTTTAAACCATTTGTGTGCCAACTTTATAGCAATTTTATCTAGATCATGTTTCTCTACTTTGCTTATGAGAATGTCACGTGGGAATGTGTCAAAAGCCTGAGTAAAATCAAGATCTATCACGTCTTCTGCTTCCCCCATCCACTAGGCCAGTAACGTTGTCAAAGAGGGAATTTAGGCTGGTTTGGCATGATTTGCTCTTGACAAATCCATGCTAACTATTTCTTATAATCCCATAGTCCTCTAGGTGCTGAGAATTTGATTGTTTATTTGTTCCAGTATCTTTCAAGGTACCGATGTTAGGCTGACTGGGTCTATAATTCCCTGTGTCCTCTTTGTTCCCCTTTTTAAAGATAGGTATTATGTTTATTAGTAGTAGTCTTTATTTATTTATTTATTATTAGACCAGAACGGTCTGTCTCTAGCATTTAGTCTGCCCTTCAGACATCGATGATGTTGACAGTGATGATCATCCTGCTCATTGGCAGGATTTTAGGCTAGAACTAGACCCCTGGACTGGGATTCCAGAGACCTGGGTTCTGTTCCTGCTTCTGCTCCTGGCCTGCTGGGTGAATTCTGGCAAGTCATTGCTCTCAGCCTCAGTTTCCCCTTCTGTGGAAAGAAGGGTGTTAACTCTTACTACCCTTGGTAAAGTGTTTTGAGATCTACTGGTGCAAAGCACTGAATGTATATATTATAATCAATAATAGCAACTTTTGCAAGGTGGGTGTCTTTATCTTAACACATCTGTAGGGAATGTACACCATGGACAATTTTCACTGGTAATTTGTTTTCACTTTTTACTTCCTCCAGATAAATGTGCAGGGGGATTAATGGTGAAGAGTTTAGAGATGGGAGAAATTACGAAAGAGAGAGATGAGCAGACAAAAAATTCAGAGCTGTACATTTCAGTGCTCTGGTTCCCAAAACCCTGCAAGGAGAGCACTGATATTTTCACTATCAATTTCATACCTCCCTAATTCCATATGCGGCTGCTTCAGTTGTGTAGCAACACTGCCCCCTAGTGACTAACCACAAAGCTTTATCTAAACTGGAGATATTCCAACCAGGGCTAGGGAAGGGCTGCTTCGGAATGTGTCACAGCTGATGTGATCCGATCAGGAGATGGAGACATGGACACAGTGAAGAAAAAATTCTTTCTTTCTTTCTTTCTTTCTTTCTTTCTTTCTTTCTTTCTTTCTTTCTTTCTTTCTTTCTTTCTCAGTAAGTACTGGATTTAGTCTCTTATTCAATGGTGATACACTGGGAAATTATATACATTTAATCAACACGATTGCTCTTTCCAGGGGATCTGGTGTGTGTCACCTAATCTCGCTATTTCTCTTTCTGCGGTATCTCGTCTATCTTGTATCTTAAGAAGCTGCCCATTTGCGTTTATCCTCCTCTGTGCATTTTCTTTCCATTTACAGGGAGTTTAGCTGGGGAAACCTCATTGCTCTGAGTTAATGTGGCCTCACTGCACAGCTCAGTATCTGCTTCCCCTTTTTGTACCAGTCGCTGCTTTGCTCTGTGTCACTGTGTAGCTCCTGGCGCAGAAATAGGTGCCGCTGTCTCCGGCTTCCATGCCTCTCATTTCCAAATACACCTCGCTCTTAGAGGTGTCCCTCGAGATGGTCAGTCGGTTTTTGAGGGACTCGTGGTAGCGTTTGTCATCATCCCAGTACACAAGGCACAAGCACTCCAGGCCTTTCCCCGGGGGCTGTCGAATCCAGCTCACTGCATTCCCGCTAGACGTGAGAGAGAATCCAGACACGGAGCAGGTGAGTCTCAGGGTCTGTGAGGGCTTCACCTGGGCCGCTCCGGTCTGCAGCAGTTTAACCTGGGAACGGACACCTGCAAAGAGCATGGAGAAATCTCAGTCAGAGAGAGGATCAGCAGTAGGCGCTGTAGAGAGGAGAGACTGGTCACTCCTAGGTACTTACATGCTGCAATAGCAAAGAGAAGGAAAGACAGGAGTAGAAATTTCATCTTCCCTCTTGGAAGCCAGATAGAAACAGGCACCAAGACCCAGAGGAAATCACACAGGCTTGACTCTTGCAGGGATCGCTGCTGTAATAAAGATTGGGAAGATTCTATTCTTAAAAGGAAGCAAAATAATCATTTGCATACCCCACCCTCTCATGCAAAGCGTTGGTAAATGAGTTCTCCCTGTAATCCTCATATATGAGATGCCTCATAGTCATGTGTGAATGGGTCGTGTACAGACACTTATTGCGTTATCTCCTAGAAACCCGACGCAAGTGCACAGCCCCGGTGTGCTAGGCACTGCACCGACACATAGTAAGAGACAGTCCCTTGGTAAGGGAGTTCCTCCTTCAGTCATATACTCATATAAATAGATAGATAAAGTCATATCTATCTATCTTTCTATTTATCTATCCCCATCCACCCCTTCTATCTATCTATCTATCTATCTATCTATCTATCTATCTATCTATCTATCTATCTATCTATCTATCTATCCTATCACCCATCCATCTATCTATCTATCTATCTATCTATCTATCCCCATCCACCCCATCCATCTAATCTATCTATCTATCTATCTATCTATCCCCATCCACCCCATCTATCTATCTATCTATCTATCTATCTATCTATCCCCATCCACCCCATCTATCTATCTATC